GGTTCAAGATCTGGGACGAGGGCTACGATGAGTCCACTCAGCAGTGGTGCACCGACAAGCTCATCGCCAACAAGGGTCTTTTGACCGTCGAGCTCCCCTCTGGCCTTCCCGCTGGTTACTACCTCGTCCGCACCGAGATCCTCGCCCTCCACCAGGCCGTCAGCCTTCACGACCCCCAGTACTACGTCGGCTGCGCCCAGATCCATGTCTCCGATGGCCCCTCCGGCGCTCTCGAGATCCCCTCCCAGTACTCCGTCAACATCCCCGGCTACATTGACGGCTCCGAGGCCGGCAACAACTTCAACCTCTACGACAACCCGCAGTACCCCTACCCCATCCCCGGCCCCGAGCCCTACAGCCCCGTCGGCACCGCTTCCGCCAGCGCAAAGTCCACCTCCTTCGAGGGCGGCGTTCCCTCTGACTGCCTGATCAAGAACGCCAACTGGTGCGGTAAGGCTCCCGAAGCCTACACCACCCAGACCGGCTGCTGGGCCGCTGTCGACGCCTGCTACGCCCAGGGCAACGTGTGCTTCGACTCCGCTCCTCCGACCGGCGCCGCCAACTGCTACGTCTGGAACGACAACATGTGCAAGGGCATCTCTGCCCAGTGCACGGCCGGCAACTGGCAGGGCCCTCCCACCATCGAGATGACCGCCAAGACCGTCGCCGCCCCCGGCGCCATCCCCGCTGCCGTCAACCTGAACCTCCTCGGTGGCTCCGCCAACACCGCCGCCGCTGCCGTCGCCTCCGCCACCCCCTCCAAGACCGCTGTTGCCGCCTCTTCCTCTGCTCCCGCCGCTACTCCTACGGCTGAGTACGCCGCCGAGGACCCTATCGCTACCAGCGCGCCCGCTGCCACTGTCGCCCCCGTGACCTCGGCCGCCCCCGTTCCGGCTTCCACCTCCGTTGCCGCCCCGGCCGCTCCTTCCGCCTCTGCTCCCGCCTCTGGCGCCCTTGTCCCCTCCACCGACGGTACCTGTGGTGGCAGCACCGGCTTCACCTGCGAGGGCAGCACCTTCGGCTCCTGCTGCTCCGCCGCCGGCAAGTGCGGCAGCAAGATTCTGCAGTGCAGACCCTCTTGCGGTTGCCAGACCAAGTTCGGTCTCTGCCTCGAGGCCCGCAGCCTGACGAAGAGCAACTAAAGCAAGCAAGCTTAGTTTCTTCCTGACCCACACCAACCTCTCCATCAAACTACATCACGACATCAAAACAACATTAGAACGTGATCATGACGACGACATGAAAGAAACCCCCTTCTTCCATCAGTGGATTCAAAAACTTCCTTCGCTTCGCTTCGCTTTTTTCTTCGACGAGTCTTGCTCTTTTTTTGCAACATGCACCTCGCTTGCATCATTTATCTTCAACTAGGGGGTGGAAAAAACTTTTGGGGTTTGGTGACAACACATACATCACGGCCGGGTTCAATGGTGTTCTTTTTTGCGAGTGGGAAAAAAACAAATTACATCGGAACAGGAAATCATGGGCACTGCTTGGGTAACTTCTGGTGTTTTTTTGTCATGTGCCATTCTTGTATATAGTGTACAATTTGATCATAAACAAATATGGATCTTTCAAAGTGCCTTTCTGCCTCTGTATAACGGCATGGGAGTTCGGAATCGTGATTCAATGTGTGTCAAACGTCTATAACTACATGTAAGTGTGGCCATCTCCTGAACTGAGAGACAATGACTTCCACGAATTGGTACTCTCGCATTGGTTGGGCCATCGGCTTTTTGGAGGAGCTAGAGTTTCCCTTCAATCACAGATATGCATATCCCCACAACTACGTAGTTGTCGAAAATACAGTTGCTTGCCAGTCGGTAGTACGAAAGTATTCACTGGAGAATACAGAGCAACCGCGCGCTAGACAGCAACAATGACGTCTTCAATTGTTTTGTGACAGTATTGGGCTGAAATATTGTAGGGAAGAATCCTTGGACCGTCCATTACCTTATCTATATAGTGCCCTCCCGGGCGTTGAGGCCTTCCAGACGGCGAAGTTTGTTTTACGGCCATTTGTTAGCTCTTTTACACTCGTCTTCTTAGCTTGTCCGTCATTAGCTCAGTCTTGAGCGCGTTCTACTCGACTCAAGCATGGTTGTCGGCTCGTCGCCTTGGCGGATCGTTTGTCGTCGAGGTACCAACCGCCTTGATCGCGAGTATTGATGCAGGATTTGACAGGCATTTTCATAGTCTCGAGAGTTTGGCGCTTTTGAATAGCGAAGACTGAGAAGGTGTGGCGTTGGACTCTCCCTTTGTTTTTTCCTCTTGACTCTGTTTTCCCATTCTTCCCATTCTTTGCAGTCTACGGAGTACCCGCAATGCGGAAGTTGCTTCGGGAAGGCTGACTTGTGGTGTGTTAATAGACTGTGAATAAAGTTATCCCGCTGGCTGTCTGAAGTTGTCGCGCACTTCATTGTTACTCGTGGCACCTTGAATCACGAGACGGATTTCAGATGATCTAGCCACTCAGTATACGAGCACTCGTTGTTGTGAGATGAACTTATTGTGAGACCCAAACCGTTATGGTTGGTTGTGAAGAATGTCTATTGTAGCGCCGGGCGATTGAGGAGGTATCGTTTACAGAAAGAAGTAAATTCCAGCAACGCCATCCTGTCATCCCTGGCCGCTTGTTCATCCTTCGGTACTATTGAAGAGTGCCTTTCCAGTCCTGCATGAGTCGTTGGATTCAACCGCTCTTTCAAGCTAGCTGACCGTGCCACCCAATATGCTGTCGTCCCCCCCCAAATATGATGCAAAAGTTCGTTCAAGGAAATCAAAGTCGTCGCACCGTGACTATACCCCCATAAGGTAGTTGTCAAAAGTCCAAGGTACATGTATACATGGGCATTCTTAGGGAGTGCAGCTGAATCCGAAAGGGCTCTTTTTGCACAATCCCGAGGTGACGCGAGTGCCGCCAGGCTGTGTACAGGAGAGATCAGCCCATGCGAAAGGCCTGAGGCTTTGCCATTGATCTGGTAAAGGTCGGGTTGTACTTACTGAATCCTCGCAGGTGACTTTGCACGCTACGCCGACGTTGTCCTTGGTACAGCTCGGTGCCTGGGTGCACTGGCTACTGACTGTTGGGGACTGGGCCGCGGCCTGGCCCACGAGGATGGCGGCTGCGAAGACGAAGAGAGATTGGAAATGCATGTTTGTTTCGTTCGGTTTTGATTGTGAGGATGGAATGATGAACAGCTGCAGGAGGGTATAGTTGAGTAAAGAAGATGAAGAAGGAAACTCGGAAAATAAAGACGCGGTTGTCGTCCGTCTTAATGTATTCCTTCAACGACTCCCCACTTGTCTCTTTTCCCCGTCAAGTCATTATTACTGCACGGCCTGATCGGCATCAAATTCCTTGATGAACGTGTGCCGTTCGGTATCCCACATGGTGGATTTAGATTGAAACTTCTGCTCGCAATTTAGAGTTTTCCCTGTTGAATACTTACGGTACTGTACCATGAAGCTTTATTATGGTATGTTTGGGGGCGCAGAGGCATTATCGTGGCCTTGGTGGCCGCTTGCGCGTTGTGGCTGGGGGGTGGGATGCGAGTCATAGGGCTGTCGACTCGGCTGGGTATTTGGAGTGGGATCTGCTTCAACGGGCCAGGAGCTAGGGGTTTCCGAAACCTCGGAATTCCGTTTGTCCATAATCTGATTTGGATTTAAATTTTGTGGTATTTACTTGCTTGTACTTTGAGAACTTTGTTCATTCTTGCAAGAGAGACTTTGACTTCAAGATGGATGATGGGATGAACCTCCTCCGTATTGGACCCCCAGCCGACGTCCAGCGGCAAACTCACGCAGTCACTGAGGCAAGATGAACACCAAGCCAATCCTAAATCGACTGCCAAAATGGAGAAACTCATATAGGCTCACGACAGCCCCCTTAGAAATGGTCTATGCGGTGGAATCTTTAGCTCGGAATAGTCACCAAGCCCACGCGTGAACGGCACGGCTGCACATGACTCGGCTTCCGACAAAGTTTCATGTAGACGAACGCCTTTATTCGCCCCGTCTGTTTCGTATGAGAAAGCTGACGCGCAAGTTCCATGTTGCTCGCGGGCCTCCCGATCACCTTGAAAGCTTGGGCTGCGTGCAGAGATTGATGCTGTTGAACGAATGCTGGACGCACAGACATCATGGGATTGGAGAGCCGGATGAAGGTGCCAGAAGTAGTCGGTGATGTTTGTAACAATAGCTTTGAGGGTTCAATATAGCTTAAGCCATGCTGAGGTATGAATCAACGTGGGCCGTACTGCTAATGAGCGCTGATGAGCCACGCCACTGCTCTACGAAGCTGCTGGTGACAGATTTAACTTGCAGGGCAGCTTCAGCACGTCCTAGGTGTTCAAATGAAGGTTTGTCGAGCAATTGTTCCTCTCCTCTCGGGGAAGTTCTTCAAATGATGGCTGGGTATTCACCGATAAGCATGTGTCGAAAGTTCCCGTCTCTTCTGGCATTGAAAATCTAGCGACCAAGGATCTGCCGCACGTAAAAAAGAGCAGAAGATGGCGGACACGGGACGCAATATGGGCAATTCTCTGTTTAGACAGCCTTCCGTGTGGCATACACTCCAGCATCCCGATCCTGGCAAATGTTGAAGCCCCCGTCTCCGTCAAACCCATCCCGGAGTCGTCCCCGGTGAGCACGGGCCTCCCGCCTCCGGCCGGCCAATCTTAGCCCACACACGGCAGAGCTTGTCTCCCAATCGGGTAGGAGGCTGATGGTACGTAGCCATCTTTGGCATACAAGGAGGGGGTTACCTACCACCCTACCGAGATGTCATCACACCTCCAGACTTGATGGAGGGGAATACGGGAGTACATCAGAATGGAGAAACCTAGTTTATTGCAACGTTTTTCATCCTCATCAAATACAGGAGCACCGCGGACAATAACTTCGGCCCGATTCATATCGCCATGGGCGGACTGCGACTCCCCAATATCGACGACTTGATGGTAACAGCAGACAACCCTTCGAGAGCCGACGTATCATGAATGGGTCACGTACCCCCCGTAGACGCAGCCGAGTCCAAAGCATTGCAGCGCTTCGCACAGCAGCAGCGACCGGGGCTGCTGGATATCCCCTCAATCTGCCTCTTTCCTGTCGCGCAAAGGGGACTCGAGGCTGATATCACTGGGTCGCTCAGCCCACTTCTAAGTCACTCGAATCTATCCCGAGTCCCCGCCGGTCTCTACGAAGAGTTCGAAACGAGGAGTTTGTAGCTGGCGCAAGCAAGAGCGAGGGGTATTTCGTCGAGGCAGGCAGCGTCGCCGAGCTCTTCCAGCATGGATACGAGCCATTTGGCGGCGACCAGATCCGCCCTCACCACCTGGAACGCCTTCTAGATCATTGGCGCGGGCTACTTAACGAGGATGTCTGGGGTGTAGGGCCGCAAGGGATGGAGGGCTCTATTTAGTTGTGTTGTATTTTATGCATTATGTGCGTAAAAAAGCTCACCGTTTATAAATATATCTCTACATATGATTCCCTTTATGTAGTATGTACTAACATATACGTATCGCTTGAAATTGATAAAGTAATAGTACTCCATGATACGCGTAGAGCTTTTGCTGGAAAAGGCACCCCTTTATGACGTCTAGCCGCACCACCAGCTACATATCTGAAAGGTTGTGAGCAAAGTGGCGGTGGGCGGGCGGGCGGGTCGCCATGAGAAGACGGCTATGCCTTCGCCAGTAATCACTCCCAGTAAATCACTATAATGACCAGACGCCGCTGGACCGGGCTTATAAGTAGTCAGGCAGGTATCTTCAGATCCAATTCTTATGCAAGTCTGTGCTCTGGTGGCTCCGTGTACAATGCTTGAATCCGTTCCAAATTTGAAAGCCTCTCAGCCGCTCTCCCTCTTTAACAGCTCCCCCTCTCATCTCCAGGGCAAGAAATGCAGCACTGATAACTCTTGCCATCAAACGTCGCCGGGAGACGTCTCGGCACAAAGGTGCCTGGAGCATCACAGACGACCTGGTCGCTGTAGATGCCTTGAGGGGAACCGCCGATCCGCGTGCAGAGTTCGCGGGAGTGGTCGATCCAGGCTTGCATGGAGATTTGGCCGCCGTTGGGACTGCATGATTTCCGGGTCCATTGGCAGGTTTTGGCACTGGCGATGGCCAGGGATGAGGCCACGGTGAGGAGGAGGGTGAACTTCATTTTGGGTTGTTCTTGAGGTTATGGTCTGAAGGGAGATATGGTTGGGGTTTCAGAGAGGACTACTTCGAGCTGAAGGGATGTAGTATCTTGCGTTTTCAATTGAAGTTGCTGAGTTGATGTGAAGCAAGGGCTATGAGCTGTTGGCTGGTGGTACGGATACATCCTCTGAGGGTGAGACATGACGATGAGTTATATACCCCTGAAATACATCTGCCTGAAGCAATGTGAATAGCTTGTAATTGGTACAAGTCTCTCGTAATCGCAAGCTCGGTGTTTACGCTTCCCCGTACGCTACGTTCTTTCCCATCCCTCCCGATGCAGTGTCACTTATCCGTAAGACCTACTAGCTTAAGGTTTCGTTTAGCTCCGTTTACATTCATGACTCGAAGCCGAGAACGAGTAGGTCGCAATGTAGAGAGGGTAATTACAACTGAGCCATGGCCCAGCTTGCGGCCCACCGCAAACGTATGAAGCGAGTATCCGTCCTCGTATTGCTTAGATCTGTACGGATGTAGTGGGAAGTATGCCAAGTGGATAAGGTGCTAAGAAGAATCTCAGAGTTTCGGATCTGCCCCATATGAGTTGTACTCTGTAGTAGATTGACCTCCTCATATCATCCTTGCACAGACCACTCTGCGGCGGTCTCGAGTCCCGACAATCTGGAATATTCCGTCGGCGAGATCCCCTGGATATTGGGATCGGACTGGACGAAACTTGGGTTGAACCACCTGGCCAAAGCGTGCCGTTTGCATAACTCATTTTGAGTTCAAATGGGTGGCGAAGCGATTATGGTCTATTTCGTATTGGGAGTTTTCTGCGAATCCTGACTAGCGAGAAGAGTTGTAGGAGTTATGATTAGAGGTAGGAAGTCTTATAGTTGTCTGAGGCCTCGCAATATACTCGGGTGGGTAGACCGTTGTGAAAGCGCCGGGATTGCAGATAGGTAACTTAAGAATATCCTTTCCTGTGGTTCTAAAGTTGATGGAGGGACTGTTCCATATGTTTTGCGGTAATACATGCAAGTTTGAGTCACCTCGAATAATGTCTAAAGCCCTTTTTGGCTCTGAATGAGAAATACAAGTATGGATACATGATGTTGCTCTAGCAATGCCTTGCCGCACATCGAACTTTTAGACGAGCCAGACTTCTGACTACTTTAGCAATGCGACCTCCTTCAACGCTCTTCAACCAAGCAGCTTCTTCAGATCCGCCATGCGGGTCTCCTGAGTCTTCTTCCCCTTATTCTTCTCTTGGAACGCCTTGCCGACCAGCGTCCGCTTCTCCAGCTGAATATCCAGCACGCGCTCCTCAACAGTCCCCTCCATAACAAGACGCCACACAGTTGTAGGTCTCTTCTGACCCAGGCGGTGCACACGATCCACTGCCTGGTCCTCAATGGCCGGCGCCCACCAGCTGTCTGCAAGAATCACCGTATCCGCCGACACTAGATTGAGACCGACGCTGCAGACGGCCAAACTCGCGAGCATCACGCGCGTCTCCGGGTCGTTGTCCAGGGCATGAATGGCGGCGTCTCGTTTCGGCGCCGTCATGGAGCCGTCGATGCGGGTGAACTTGTAGCCGGCCTCCACGAGTTGGTTCTGAATAATAGTCAAGAACGAAGTCCATTGCGAGAAGATGATGACCTTGGAGTCGGGATTTTTGGTTGTAGCCTGTAGAATCTTGAGGAGAGCCTCGGTCTTGGAACTCTTCGCGTCGGCATCAAAGTTCTCATCTTCCTCTTCGCCGCCCTCCGGGGCGGGCTCCAGAAGCGCGTCTTCATCGAGCTTGTTACGGCACATGGGACACTTGCCCTGCGTCTGAATGACCTTTGAAATACAGCCGCGACAGAAGACATGCTTGCAATGAGTGATGACAGGGCCGCTCAGAGTATCGAGGCAAACGGCACAGTCTTCCTGGGTTTCAACAAAAAGACGAAGCGCCTCTTGGAGGATCTTGGTGTTTTCCGAGTTGAGAATAACGACAGATTGGCCTTCGAGGGCCTCAAGAAGATCGGAGATTCTTTTGCGGCAGAGCGTCCAGTGGTTGCATCTGAGGGAATGTTAGGTAGAGCCGATTCATCAAGAGCGGGCAATACTGACACCTGACGAAGGCGGAGAAGGCGCTCCAGTACACTTTGAAACTGGCCCTTCCCGCCCGTGTTGTTTTGGTACTTTTCAAGCGCAATTTGTGCTTCGGACCTATGTTGATGCATGAGCTTGGTCCCCCAAGTGGTAACACGGGCGACTTACAGCAATGCTTCGTACTTGTTTTTCTCGTCTGGCCTGAAGGCAATGCGGTGGACATATTCCGTCTTGGGCGGAAGCTTCAAGTCAACGAATTTCATGTCTTTCTTGCGTCGCAGGCAGAGATCTCGCATTAATAGCTGTAGGAGAGCCTCTGCCGTCTCGTTCCCTTGGGCAAGGGGCCGTGCGATCACGCTGGTGAAAATGGCAGGTTGCTCGACGCCACCATTTATTCCAAGAAACTGAAGCAAGGACTGGAAGTCCTTGATATTATTGATGCTAGTGACAGTAAGCCTGAGTATGCTCAGTTTGGTTGAATCCATCCCCGGCACACTTACATTGGAGTTCCGGTCAGGACCCATCTGGATTTAGCGTTAAGCTTTCGACAAGCTATGGCAGCCTTGGTCTTTGCGTTTCGGATCGTGTGACCTTCGTCAAGTACAACGCGAGTCCAATTTGTGGCGACAAGGGGTGGTAAAGGTGCGATGGCCTTTTCCTGGCCTCCCTCCTGGGCAAGCTTGTTGTAGCTGGTGATGACAACTTGATACTTGGCCAACTCATTCTTGGTGGCCTTGTTATTTCCATGATAGGTAAAGATCTTGGGCAGATGCTCCTTTTTGACATGCTTGCGGATCTGTTGATCCCAGTTGCTCATGACGCTCAACGGAGCAACGATGAGCGTCGGACCGCCCCCTCCAGTCAAGATCAAGCTGATGAGTTGTAAAGTCTTACCAAGACCCATGTCATCCGCTAGTATGCCACCCGAAAGGAGCTTGGGTGCACTCTGTACCACGAAGTTCGTGGCCATATTGTGGTACAAGTTACGGCCGTTCGGATGCCATTTCCACAGTTGAACACTCTCCTGAGAGCCCTTAGGAGGCATCTGGGGGTTCTCTTTCGACATCATCCACGCCAGACCCTGTGTCACGATCAGCCAAAGTGCACTGTGACCCTGAAAACTCTCGATACGTATGAATTGAGGGGGGGAAGGGGCTTGTAGCCCGTAGACCAGCATGCATAAAGCTCGAGAGGGCTCACCTGTAATTGGTATGGCAGTAATGTCGACTCAAGAACGGCGGGCTGCTCTGCCATCGGCATTTTGGACAAGAAGTCCTCGTCCATTACGAGCGACTTGACGGCATCACCGCGTGGACGGCTCGAAATTGCCTGACTGGCTTGGGCCAGGTCCTCCAGAGACACCTCTGGCTCAGCAGGGTTCAAACCAATTGTAGACTGGCTGCCCTTGATGCCTAGCATCTTTCTCTGCGCTTCTGCCTCGGCTCTCGTCTGCTTAAGTTCTCTAGCCTTGAGCAGTTTGTCCTTCTTTAGCTTGTCCTCCAACGCCGAGCGGTCGACTGGGTTGCTCGAACCATAGAGCTGTAGACGAATGGGGCAGTCAAACATGCCCTTCTCCCCTGTAAGAATAGCTTCTATTGCGATCTCATCCCGATCCTAGCACAGGTTTTAGTAACGATTAGAATGTTGGATCAAAGTACGTACAACGTATGGCGCTAGCTTTTCAACTACTTTGCGTGGAAGATGGCCGATCTGGGCGCCCATGACGTTACACACTCGGATGGCATTGCGATCATACTATGGTCATGTTAGATATCTGACGGCAAAGACGAAAGCTCAAATTGGAAAAGGATTCTCTGAGCTTGTGATAGTTGTGATTTAGTACCTGATTACTGGGTTCTCTCATACATACGACCACCTCGCCTGCAGAGGCATATCCATTGTAGTAGCGAACGCCGACAATCTTGTTGTCTATAATATCGGATCAGCATACTGGGAAAACCCCTACGAAACGCAAATGCCGTACCGAGAATCCCATAAAGTTCTCTTGGTGGGCCATCCGGAGCTTGGGTCAAATCGACAAGGTCGTCATCGTTGTCAATAGACTGAGTCGAAGAGCGAGGAGCAAGAGCACCTGAGCTCAAATGGGGCTGGGAGCTTGATGGGGTATTTCCGTAAACCCTGCCGCTGGCTGGACTGGGGCCCAAGCGATGGCTAGCCGGCCTTTTGCTGGGTCGTTGGACGGATGAGTCTTCGCCATCGCTACTGACAAGGTCGATGACAGCGATGCTGCGCTTCTTGGGTGGCATCCTCAATGTCCGAGCCCCCGGGCTCTGGGGCCGTATTCTGGGGCCGGATGGGTACTAATTCGTGAAACAAAAGAGCGGATTGGGGAAAGCTGTCAGCTAAGGGAAAGTGACAGGTTGGTACCGAACGATTCCAGATCTGGCGTGCCGAAACTGGGTAGGACAATTGGGACCTCTCACAAATCGAACCAGACGCGATAGACGCGTCTCTCGCGTACCCGGAGTGATGGGATCGACACAGGGATTCTCTTACACCAGCAGCATGAGGCTGGTGCTGTGGCTGGAAAGATGCAGGCCTGTGGCTGAGTCATTCTCCATCTGGTCACCTCGTGCAAGCACGCCATCGTCAAAAAGATCCACACAAACCAATCACCGTGGGTTGCAAAATCACGACATTTCACGTGACCTGCCTCCGGGCCCGTCTGGGTGGTCTCTGGCCAACGACGACGACTCTGCGGCTCTTGCACCTTCACAACCTCACTTCATTCATATTTTCTTGTCTCAGGTAATTCTGTGATGAATTTGCTATCTTATGGTACCCAAAAAACATACGGAAACGCGGCAGGTTGAGCTTGCCGACGGTATCTATCCACTATATACGGTGGATAGAGCATTCATGCCATCATCATTCATCAGTCTACCGACAAGCGCTCTGCGGCTCTCGGCATCCCTCAATTGTATATCAAACAGGATAAATCCAAGTTCGGATCGTCGTCGAAGCCAAATACGCAAACGCCCAGGACGAGAAAAGAACATCGACACCATCACCATTTACTGCTTCGGCAGTCGGCGGCCGTACGCCGAGTAGTAGCCGCACTTGGCTACATGGCTACTCTTGCTCGTCTTCTCATTGAAGATGTTGCAACCACCCTTGGCAACGTTGGGAGGGGTGTAGACTACGAAGTGGTCAGTCATGTTACGGCAGAGACGGCGAGGTAATTCCTACGGTGAAGGGAGACAGCGAAGTCGCTGCCCTTGTTGCAGACTCGGTGGACGCCAAGTTCGTCTGCCATATATGCCACCGCATTCTCCTTGTGTGTTCTTTCAGAGATGATTTGCATTGGTTGTTCTTCGTTGCCTTCTGGGAAGGCGTAGCGGATCTCAGTGAGATCGCCTTTCAGAATCTTCATCAGGCAATGCGCATTGCCGTGATCGTGGATGGGGCTTCCCTTGCCTGGCGACCAGACAAGCACAAGCTGTGTGGCATTAGCCATGATACTACTACCTGATGCCACGAAGTCGTGGCCACGCGTCGACTCACCAGGTTGCTCTTGCCATTGCCTTCGTCAACAAGGTTGCGGGTGTATCCCATGCTCTTCTCGGCGAATGCAAATTGTACCCATTCGCTTTCCGTTGTGTTATACTCTTCCATTAATTTCATCAACTCGTTGACATCGACGTCTGCCGAATCAAGTCCCGACGACGGGCCAAGCGCCTCCTTCAATCCCAATACGAGCTCGTCGAACCGATTGACATCGGTCTTGAGGTTATGCCCGAAGGCGGAGGTGATCTTGGTCAGGATATCGACGGCCATGGTTGCTATGGAATGCTATCAAGTTGGTGATGTTGTTGGTCGTGGTGCTTGGACGATTGTTGCTTTGGATGGTTCTGTTGGGAACGTGTCGTGCGGGGGGCTGGACTCTTTTTGCTCGTCGGTGTTACGAATCTACCCGGTGACCGGGCCTGGCTGGCATTACCTGATGGAAACGGGCGGGACTGGCGGAACTACTGGATGATCCGACTTCGGCGGGTGGGTCGTCTCGTCGGTCCTGACTTTTCTCTTTGAGACAGGGCAATCTGTCCACGTTGCCAGAGCGCAGCGGACAATTAGTCGGCGACCAATTTGACGTCTGGTGGACTGGTCTCCAACAATAGGCGCCTCTGGTTGGACGAGATAACCTACTTTACCAAGGTCGAGGGATCCCGGCAAAGCCGCTGATAGGCGACGGTGAGCTCCGATACTTTTGGGGGTCAGATGGCCAAACACCAGACGAGATGGGCCTTGTTAGAGTTTCACGGGACTATATCTAGTCAAGAGATTTTCATGCAGATTTTTGATATCAAAACGAATTCTTGACAACATGAAATTCTCATCTTGCCAGTTGAATGGGTGGATCGCTGCCGGCGTTGGCCGATAGCCGCACCGCCTCAGAGTCAGCTGAGCGGATCCGGTGTGGGGCTAGTTACCAGAATGGGTTCGTCTAGATTACTCACGCTAGGAAACGGCTTAACCTTAGGTAAGAGAGCCAGAGTCATAGGGACACTTGCCGCCCTGAAATTCCTTCTTCAGTGTTGCGCGGGTGAACTCTTGTCAATTATTTTGCTTCATCTTCTGTAACAGAAAGAAATCGCCATTGAGTTGTTCAGCCACCAATAGGCAGATTCAGGAACAGAATTTTGTTGAAGTCATCTGGTCTCTTAGGTGCTCTTCTAGGCTATGGCAACTGTTAGCGCGACCTCGACAATTCAGTCGGGAGCGCAACGAAGTTGTCAAGATGCCCCGACCTCATGTACGCCTTGTAATAAGGAAAACGTAGGTTGGAGGAGAATTGTCAGGAACTTCACACCCTCGTAAGCAAACTTTCGAGAGGCAATGATGAACTAAAGTGTGTCTAACATAATGCAGATGGTTTGCGGTTACAATGGGAACGGGGATAGTCTCAGTTCTCCTTCACAACCTGCCTTACAACGCAACATGGATCTCACATGGTCTTGCCGGTGCCTTTTTCGTGCTCAACATCGCTCTGTTTACCGTATTCACCGTCATCACAGTGCTGCGGTACGCATTGTACCCCGAGATCTGGAAGGCCATGGTTGTACACCCTGCCCAGTCCATGTTTCTTGGCTGTTTCCCTATGGGGTTTGCCAGTTAGTCGCGAAGTTCTCCCCACACCACAGGATATACTAATCTCTGTGGCCAGCCATAATCAACATGATGATATTCGTGTGTGCACCTGCCTGGGGCCAGTGGGTGGTGAATTGGGCATGGGCATTTTGGTGGCTTGATGCCGCTCTGTCAATGGCAACATGCATCTCGGTGCCCTTCGTCATGTAAGTGACCTCACCACACAACGTTCAAATTCGAGACTGATCAACCATGTTCCGAAGGATTCATCAACACCGCCCGGGACTTCAGGCAGTAACAGCCGCAAGTCTTCTCCCAATCGTCCCAGTCGTAGTCGCATCTTCAACTGGCGGCATCGTCGCCGAGGCCCTCTCAAACCCATCTCACGCCTTCACAACCCTGATCGCATCCTACGTTCTCTGGGGTATCGGCATCTGCTTCTCGGGCATGGTCCTCGCGCTCTACTTCCACCGCCTGACGATCCACAGCCTCCCGCCCAAAGAGGCCATCGTCTCCGTGTTCCTGCCCATCGGACCCCTGGGCCAGGGCGGCTTCGGCATCCAGCAGCTCGGAAAGGTGTCCCTGAAGCTCTTCCCCCAGACTGCGGCTCTTGCCGTGGCGGCTCCGGGGGCGGTGCACGGCGGAGAGATTCTCTACTTTATCGGACTCTTCCTGGCGCTCGTCATGTGGGGCTTCGCCCTCGTCTGGTTGTCGTTTGCTCTTATCAGCCTTGCTACAATGGAGAAGATTCCTTTCAACATGGGTTGGTGGGGGTTTACGTTCCCGCTGGGCGTGTTGGCGACCTGCACCGGCATGCTGGCCCAGGACTTGGACAGCCCCTTTTTCAGGGTCATGACCATGGTTTGTCTCTCTCTCTCTCGTGCCTGTCGATGATTGTCCGTCCGGTTTTGCTGATCTCTCCTGGCAGATCTTCTCGCTCTCTGTATGCTTCCTCTGGCTGCTGGTTGCGGTGAGAACACTTCATCAGGCTATTTCTGGGGAAATTTTCTTTGCGCCGTGCCTGAAGGATATCCGAGACAAGCAAGCGCAGGCAGGATCGGATAGAAGAGTTTGAACAACTGGTTCGACATGAAAAACTAAAATCAACAACGACTCAGTCTCATGCTGAGCAAATGGCTGCCTCCTTGGGCACAACTGGGTCTATTTCCTGTACACCAGTCAAGCTCCGGTGCGGTCTCTTGACCAGTACATATTAGTGATTAATCTGGTGTGATATCCACCATCAGCCATGTAGGCATCTATTATGTGTTCAGCAGCATTGAAACATGATTCAAGTGCAACACGTAGATTTCGGTTCGAGTTACAAGCCTAAATCGTTTAGAGAATTTGACTTCAACCTAATTTTTGCAAACAGCTTCTCGATAAAGGCGGGCTCCTGTCTTAGTCATGTTGTTCTCACCTTGAGATGCCCTCCAGCCGGCCGAGGTGCCATTCAATGCCAATGGTCAGCAACCGGGGAACCCCAAAGACGCTAATGGCGGGGTCGATGAGGTGCAGGGCCAGGCCTAAATTTCTTTGGCGGGGCACCACTAAACACCCAGGTCAGCCACTGGGAAAGTTTGACACTTGAAATAATTATTGCAATTGCGCTCGCACCCACTGGTCAAAGCCCATTTCGCACACCCCGCCACTGCTCATATGCAACTTGGAAGAAATCACAACTTCAAGGCGCGTTCCTCCAAAAAGTGACGAAACAATCCGCGCATAGCTCGTCTTCGAGCACCGCGCTCCGTCGCAGCACCAATGGCTTCCACTCTTCAGCCCGTAGGCTTCAAGGCCATGTTGAACGGTGAGTTGGCTCTTCTTGCCTTTGGTGCCTCCCGCCACCTCTGTTTCTCGTTCAACCGCTCATTCTGCTTTTCTTGCGCGTAGACGTCCACGATGTTTGGCAGCAAATTCGCATACCTGTGATCTTGTTCACGGCCTTTGGACTCTTGATTCTGCGCTTCTACCTCCATTCTATCGAAGAGAAGAGCGAATTGAAGGCCCTGCCCAAGGCCTACAATAGAGAGAAGCCCGAGACGAAGCCTGTGGAGGAGACGAAGAAGAAGGATGTCAAACCAAGCCCCCCGAGCCCTATTGTCGAGTCGAAAGCGCCAAAGTCGAACGGACCCAAAAGGATAAAAGGCGGAATCGT